GTCAAAAAATTAATTCCTATTTTTGCACAGCTAAAATAATTCTCGGATTTCCTGTTTGCTTTGATTAGTGAACTCCACTTTTCACATTAATCCTTCATTGATCAATGTTTTTTTTTGCTTTCAGTATAACTTATAAAGCGTTAATTCTTCTATAATATATTTCCATATTTTGTAGAAATTTTGCCTATTGAATTACAAAGAAAAATCTCTTTTTTCCGAATAGTTAAAATTTTTCAGGCAGAAAATTTCTACAGAATTATAATTCGTTAATCTATGAGATTCAACAATCAAGTTGAGATTATTCCGATCTTTTTTCTTCCCATAATTCGAAAGTTTTTTTTTAAAGGGTCCAAATCTTAGTATTAAAGCTTATCATTGGGAAATTTATAGTTTCATCACTTGGAAATAAAGGAGCAGTTAGGATTTAAGCTATTTTTCATTTTTAATGATAAGATTCATCTTATTCTTAGACGAGAGCTGAATGGAATTTAATAAAATTACTTGTTTCTAGGTCGAATTTTCGCTTTTTTTTCGTTTTTATTTAATTCGCCAAATCGAATAAAGTCGATTGGTTTAATTTAATCGCTTATACGTCATTGATAATTTTTTTATTCCATAATCAGTTTAATTTTTACATCATTTATGTATCATTTTTTAAATAAATATGTTTTAAGTGCGTTCAGTTGCGCAATTGTCTGATCATTTTTTTAATATAGCACTATTTGGAAGGATGCCTTTAAAAATCTGGAAAATCCTGGCGACGATTCGATTTTTATTGCCATATGATTCTCTGACAAAATTTGTCTGGTACGGCAAGTCAGCAGAAAAAACTTAACCTTTAGATAAGATATATACTAAACTTTGTTAGATTTTTTTATTTGCTTAACAATATGTGAATTTTATTTAATTGCTGTTGTGGCTGTTATAAAATTTGGAAGACTTCACTAGTTTTAATTACATTTCATTGGGTCATTTCTTAAGCCCTTAAGCCGATGTTTTACTTAATTAAGCTAATCTATGGTTTCCTTAAAAAGATTAATAATGAATAAAAATTTTAAAAGTAATAAAAAAAATTAATGCAAGAATTTTTCGAGGAAATAATATATTATTTTTCAACTTTTCATAAAATTTTTTTTCTCCAATTCCATCTATTCCGTATTCTATTCGATTTTGAAATCTTTTTCTTCTTCTAAGAAGGTTCATCTGATTCGGCGGGTTTAATTAATTAAGTAGAATGAGAGTGTTCTTCTCCAGACAATTACATGGTCACAGATTCGAATGTCCTCACCCACAACCTAACACAATCTTCGATCAGAGGATAGGAATGGAACTCTTATTGCTTGCTTTGTTTTGTCTTCAGTTGAACTTACTATACTACATTCTATTAACTACCATTTTTCTTGTTCTACTATCTTCAACTTTTTAAATTTTTATTTAGTTCAAAATCAGTACCATTGTCATAAACATTCGGGCTAAAGATGGCTTAATAGTTAGCTAATCTGAAATGATCTGCATAATTCTATACAGTTTCAAGATAATGCGATTTTCAATTAATTTTCAATTACTAATTAAGGCTGCTATGATAATCCGATTATTAGCCAATAATCAATGCAAAATAATATTTCCAGATGATTCCTTTGTTTTATTTATGAATTTGTCTCACTTTTATAAATAAATTATAAATTTAAGTTTATAAATTTTAAAATGATTAATGATTTTTTAAGAATGCTTTTAGCAATATGATGCTTCATCTGAAAGCAATTCGAATCTATACCTACCTGAAGGGTCCAAATCTTAGTATTAAAAGCGAACCTAGCGTTGAGGATTTACAATGCATCCATCTCAAGGTGACTTCGTGTTCTTTCCAATATTCACCAAAATCAATCAAAGAAATTTGATAAAAGAAATCAAGATCGGGAATGTTTTCCAGTGGCGGTGATAATCGTTTAGAATAATAATTGATCAAAATAATTAATGACTGATAAAATGATAACCAATAAAAATGATAAAATAAGTGGTTAAAATATAATTGAAGCAATATCAAATAATTAAGGAATATTAATAATCGAAGAAATTCTCAATAATTCTTACTATATATATACTATACTTGAAAAAATAGCCAAAAGAACTATAGGCTTTAATAAACCATAGGCATCCATTGTTGTACAGCAAGCTTAAGGATCTTTATTTTGGAGCGTTCTGAATCGAAAAACTGAAATTTCTACTTCGACAATTGGCAGTTTTTCTCAATTTTTTGTCATTTCGAGACGCTAATGCTTGAATTTTATCCCTAGAGTGAGGGGCAGTTTTTCGAAAACGCGGCTGGTGCTAATGATTCACTGTGTATTTCTATCGTTATATAGTTCTTATCAATTGCCTGATTCAACGAATCGTAGAGCGAGCTTAACTGGAAATGATGAACGCTCATAGAAAAAACTAGTAGACATACAGCATACAACCGATTATTTATTTCCTAATGGTGTGAAGTTCTAATATTTGATAAAAATATTAAATATATACAATAAAATTAAATTAAACAAGTGAATTATTTCAAAAAAATGGTTTTTTGTTGATTATTAATATTATAATTAATAATTATTAATTGTTATTAATGATATTAACGGCCACAATTTCTCATATTTCTTTATTTATTTCAATTTGCCAGATTGCTTTCACTGGAGCTTTTAGAAATTCTTCGATCTCAGCTCCAAGCTATTTATCATCCCTATTTGTTATAAATTTGTATCGTATCTTTTGAGATTTTCTGGCAAATATCAGTTTGTGTCGAAATATAACTTTAAACTGCATAACTTAAAGAGTGAAATACGTTTAATTTCATTAATATATCTTATAACGTAATTGTTTCATTTTTTTGGTTATTTTATCAATTTTATTTAAATTATATTTTATAGGTATTTTTGGAAAATTTCAATATTTTTTCCGATGGATTCAATGAAATTCCTTTTTGTGAAAGCAATCACAGTCTTAAATTTTTTTTACTGCCTCCATTAAGAATTATTCCAATCTTCTTGTTTTGAATATTTCAATATTTTTTCATGAAATCTATTCATCATCATAATGATATCCGATTTGTATTTCTCTTATTCACCTTCTTTCTCTTTCTCTTCATCTTTCTTATCAATGAGAGCAAGCTTTTATCTTTTATTCTTTTTTTAGAAAAAATTTTTAAAAAATAAAATTTTATAAAAAATTTTTTATACAAAAATATAACTGTTAGAAGTTTAACTATTCATTTCCAAGCCAGATGAGTTTGATAGAAGGCCTTAGTGGGTTGCTGCTATCATCTTTAAGCCCTGATGCCAGGGTCCTACTCCCAGCGTTCAAAAATATCGGTGGCCTATATCGGTATTTTTATTGCCATATGACTCCGATAAAATTTGTCAAATTCGACAAGCTAATTGAACGAATCTATCGGAAATGGTGAATTCGTGTGAAGCTCTTAGGAAGAAAAGGAAATGAATTTGCCTAATTTTTCTAAAGAAATCATTTTATAAATTTCACATTTAATTTAGCAATTTTTTGTGGTAAAATTATGACTTTGAAATATTAATGGTTGGGCAAATATAATAATTATAAATTTTTTAGAAAAACTACAAAAGAAATGTTTGTCTAAAATTGAATGTCCAAATTTAGCTCGGGCGATTTCCTTTTTATTCCTTACTGTCATTCATTCGATGAGAACAAACAATGCAATATTGGCGAACAATTCACTGGAAAGTCAATTTTATCATGATAAGGCGTAATATTGAATGATATATTTGAAAATGAAAATGATGAAACGACGAAAAATGAAAAATCACCGATCAGTTATGCTCAGGGATATGCCACCATTAATATGCTCACTTCTTGTCTTCCTGTCTTTTACTACTTTTATCACTTCAGCTAATGGTAAGAACTTTTTTCATCATCTCTAACTAGGTTTTTCGTCATTTCCCATCCCATTTTATAAGATCTTGATTGCTTTCCTCTTCCCGTTACAAGAATATTCGCAGTGCTGTGCACTTATTCGTCCACTACATTCTCTTTTATTCAGAATGGAAATATCAAAGTTATATACAAGCATTATCTTGTAAGTTCTTTGCTTCATCGTCTTAAAATCATAAATTAACAAAAATTTATTTTATCTATTTATCGAAGCACTTCAATGGGGTGATAAAATAATTCAATGGGTTGTTGCTTTCATTTTGCAGTACTTCATAGATAAAATGATTTTATGTTAATTAGCAAGTTCATTTGTTAAGGGCATTCCGAGAAAAGCAAACAATCTTGAACTGCTAAATTTTAGTCGTTCCTATGAAAATCTTATTAAATCCGTAAAATCTCTATAAATTTCGTAGTATTGCCTTAAAATCCGAAAAATATGCAATAAGCCTTTTGTCGGCTGTAAATCTTAATTTTTTAGTAAAATTTTCAACTCAAACTAATGATTGGAATCATTGGAACTCACCATTTCTAATTAGGCTTACTCCGTTAGCTACCGGATAAGAGAAATTCTACCATTGGAGTTACGAAAGTAACATGGATGACCGAGGTTTAAATATAAATTCGGTCTTAACCGAGTGAAATGGAGTTCATTTTTATTTTGGACCATTTTTTTGATATTTTCATATTTTTATTTTCATCTTATTTATAAGTGAAATCGCCCATCTGGGTGCTTTTTCATTTTTTTTTTTTCCTATTTCCTATCTTTCATTTGTCTACAGTCGCATCTGCTTTCTCACGGCATCATTGGATCATTTCATCAGTTTGTTCATGAGCCACTTTTTTATTAAACAAATGATGGTCAAATGGCCGAAAAATCTGCAAAAATCTTTAGTGGCCTAGGGCTATTGGAGATATCAAAGAAAAGAGTTTCATAATTTCTATGAAATATTTCTTGAAATATGAAGTAATATTGGTAGAAGTTATGAAATAAAAACCATTGATGAATCTGACTCGATCTCTTCGAATAAATGATAGGAAATATGTGATTTTAAGATGGTGCGAAATTACTTGTTCGACCCGATTCATCAACAGTTCCTGACGATACGAAAATCAGTTTTTTTTGTCGTGCTGATGGCAATCCAATACCTTCGGTGGTTTGGAAAAAGAATGGCGAGATTATTACAGATCCAAGGTCGAAATTTATTAATCTTTAATTAATCTTTAATTAATTAATCTTTAATTAATTAATTTAACTAAAAACTTAAAATTATTCATTATTTTTTAAAATTCTCTCATATAATTCTTAAAAACTTCCAAGAAATTAGTTCAACGATTTTAGATTTATATCAAAAACTCTTGCGAATGGCTTAAGTACACTTCGAATTGAACCAGTAAAAATGATAGATGCAAATAGTACTATCACATGCAGCGCAGATAATGGAGTTGGGAATCCAGTTGTTGCTGACGCTACTTTACGAGTTCTTTCACACAGTTTATTTTTCTGCTATCTCTATTGATTTAATTTTTTCAAACCTACCAATCATACGACACGCCTGGAATTGACCAAGGCCTCCTTTTTTTCTTATCATTCAAGTCCATATATGAACTTAATGTTCAAAGCATTCAAGGCATCTTTCTTGACTGTATCGATTCAAAATAAAGCGATTTTTTTATTAAATAATTATTTGCATAAAGCAATATTTATTTTAGAATCATGCGAATAAATTAGTTCTTTTCAGATTCACTTCCATTAGGTTTTCCTATAATAGAAACTCATCCCGTTCTAAAGTCAGTAGAACAAGGAAGAACAGCTCACGTGTCTTGTCGAGTCAAAGGTGATCCACGTCCGAAAGTTCTGTGGTTGCGCGATTTGATGCCAATTGATATCAGATCAAATAACCGATATTCTGTGTCAACTTTGGGTAATCCTGGTAGGTATTTTAAAAAAAGTATTTTAAAAAAATATTATTAATATTTAGACCAAGTTTCGCTATTAAATTACGAAATTATTTTAAACAGCTTTAGATGATATTTGATTCATACAAATTGATGTTCGATAAATAAAACTTGTTTTATATGGATATTTAAGTAAGATAAGAATCCAGAAACGAACACTCCTAAAAATAGGCCAGAAATATACTGTATCGTTTGCTACATAATTTTTTCTGTAAAATTTTGTTTTTCTTCATTTTTGCAAAATAAGATTATGCATAAATATTTATTATTATTTAAAGAGTAATGCCACTTGCACTAAGCGATTTTTAGCATTGTTCAAAATGCCTTTTTTTTATCAAAAAACCACAATATTCAAACGTTACATATAATTACAAAACGATTACAATACAATTTTTGTATATTATTGAATTATTCAATCATTTTTTATTATTTTTATCTAATATGCGAGAAAAATTTTTTATAATTTAAAAAAAATCCATATTAAAAATGCCTTTGACCCTTAAGAAGATAAGATGTATTGTGGTTTTTATATAATAGAAAATCTACTTTAATCTTTTTCTTCTTCTAACAGCTCTCACCATTACTGGTTAGGCTGGCTGCAACGGTTACAATGGTAAGACGGCGCAGTCAGATGTCATTGTCGACAGTAATAGAAGCCATTCCTTTTTTCATCGTCTAAGTCCATATATTGCTGGTCTACTTATACGTTCAAAATCTTTCCTGACCGTATCAATCCATGTCTTGATTGGCCCACCTAGCTTTTGACGCCTTCCATCATACGGTTAAATCTATTTCAATAGAAAATTTTTATTGACCATGAAACTATTTTATTTATTTCAATCTTAAATCTGAAAATTTCGTATAACACAAAAATTAATAATAAGATAGGCAAGAAAAAACGACGCGTCAATGGGGTTTGCGGTTTGCCGACTTCTCTTCTCTAATTTACCAATATATGGAATATTTATTTTGTAGCATGCATATCCACCTTAATAACTTATACTTCTCTTCCTTAACCTCAGAAAGCAAGGCAGATTTCATATTTTATTTTGCGACACAACTAAACTACATATTCAAGGAAAATTGCACCAAAAATAATATATTTTTTTCTATTTTAAAAAATTTCTTCGTAAAAATCAAATTATTTTTAAGATTTTTTTTTGAGGCGAAGGCGAATAAATTTGAAAAATCCAAAAAGTTGTGAAAATACAAATTTTATGAATAAATTTTTATTTAATATTCAATCATTCATTTATTAATTATTTATATTTTTTAATAAATAAACAATTGTTTATAATAGAAATTTGCAATTCGCCCATACCACATATTTACAACAGGTTATTTATTCAAAAATTTGTTTTAGATCATCGTCTTAAAGCGATTGGTAAGATTTATAATATGAAGTGAGAAATGAATGCCACTTTCGCCGCTTATATTCATTATCATTTTATTCTTATCATTATCATAAACTATTTATTATCATTACTCTAATGCACTTCGCGTCTATCACATTTCGTTTTGTCCTTCAAATTCACTTATAATTCATTAAACTTCTCTACTCTACTCGCATTTTTTTGTGAATTTTAGCGCACGAGTTTTAAGATAAATTGCCAAAAATCCATTTACCACCACAAATTATTTCATTCTTCACAATGAAGCAACAGGCATGGATATTAATATATTTCACATTATTTTATGATTAAAATAGGGATTTCAGGTGCACTGATGATACAGCAGGCTCGAGAAGAAGACCAAGGTAGATATGAATGTGTCGCAAGGAATACGCTTGGCGTTATTCATTCTAAGGCTGCTCATCTATATGTTAAAGGTCAAATAATGAATAATGTTATTGGCAATGATAATTGATAATTAATAATTAATAATTAACATATTAATTCTACAAAAATTATTCATTAAAATTAATTCGAATAATTTTAAATTATCTGTGCCCTATCATAGTCGAAAAAATAATCGAAAACTAATGTTTTCAGTTTCCACATGCATCATATCCCATATCTTTTGATAAATTTTTCCTTTTTTTCAACATCTTCTATATCTTTTATTATCATTTTACTATCTATGTCACATTATTTAGTGATGATTGTCTTGAATGAATTATTCTAATAGTTTAGTTCGACGTGTACCACCATACTTCTCATATAAACTTGAACGGTTGTATAAAGTTGCACCAGGCGGTTCGATAAATCTAACTTGTGTTGCTGTTGGTTATCCAATGCCCAGAGTATTTTGGAAGAAATCAGATGAGACATATCTTAATGACCCGCAAACTGCACCAATAGGTTTTGATTTTTTTTGACTTTTTTTAAAAAATTTTCATAACATTGATTTTCTTTTCTTTCTATTCGATTTTTCATTTTCTAATAAATTTCAATTTTTTTCGATTTATTTATTCGATTTCTGCAATTTTTTATTTTTTGGCGATATTTTTTTATTCTTTAGATAGGATATTCATTAATTTCTTCGCAATTTCTTACTAATCATTCCTATTCTTTGCTCTTTTGAGATTTTATCACTTATCAATTGGATATTTTTGGCTGATTAAAAAAATGGCTATGGACAAGACGCGTTTTAAACCATTTTGTCTTATTCATTTTGTCTTCAGAATCATTTTTCAGCTTTAATACGTAAATAATCTTTAATTTTTTATTTAGGTAAAAATGTGCTAACATTAAATCATATCGAACAAACTGAAAATTTTACATGCGTCGCTGTTAGTAAATTGGGAAATATTGAAATAACTACAACTGTACAAGTTAAAGGTTAATTATTTATGTCTTATTCACCAGCGAAAACATTTTAGGATGGTTAGAATCATTTCAGACCCTGACATATCCCTTAGATTTCCTATATTGCTCCTTCGGTGTAAACCCCGTCAATTTGTATTACCCTTTGCAAATTTGTAATTTCCCATTGCAATATATCCTTTGCAAATTTGTAATTTCCCATTGCAATATAAGTGCACTGCGAGATTTGACTGGGCATTTTTATTCAGTTCGAAGTACAACGCAGCAAATAAATATTAATACTATTAATACAACAATTAATTACTGCAGTTAAATTGTTTTAATATATTCGCAGTCGGGATAGGATATCTCAGTGGGTTGTTGCTCAATTGGAAGCGCCGACACTGAAGTTCGATTCTCCACAGAAACAAATCTGTGCAAAAATCTAGGTGATGCTGGCGAGTTACCTGTGCTTCTATCGTCAAAGAACTCGCTGGCATATTTGTCTAGAGCGGCAGCGAGTTTAACCAGTTGATGAGGAGTCTTACAAAAAAGAATTTTCACAGTGGGCAGTTGTATGGATTATTCTCATTTGTTGTTTCGGAGTCGGTGCTCGAGTTTTATATGTGGCAAACAGAAATTGTCTTTCAAAAATCTGGGCATCACGTTACTTAGTAATCCATCTATACTTTATCTATACGCCTATCGTCAAATAATTCCCTCGTAAAAATTAATCTGACAATAATCTAGCGATCTGGCGATAAGCCGGCAGAGCGAGCTTAAACCAGAATATCTTAGTAAAATCAAATACGCATGCATATATTTTATATGATATTTATCGAAATTTATTTCGTTTATAATAATCGAAACAAAAAGTAAATTTAAGAACTTCCACCTGCTCCAAAGAATCTTCAAATTGTTAAAACTACATTCGATAGTGTAACAGTTCGTTGGGATGAATTAGTATTAACCAATGAACCCATTACAAATTATGTCGTTCGACATCGATTAAAGTTTGTTTTTTTTTTTTTTTAGTTGTAATATATGGAATGTTATTATAAATCGAATGAATTAACAGTTTGAAATTTTAAAAGTAATATTTAAAGATAGTAAAATTTTGCGTGGCATGACAGCAAGCATGTCATAATAAATTATTCATAATGAGTGATTTAACATTTTGCGTGATATTTGGCAAAAAAAACTAATAAACTGAGGATTTTTTTTGTCTTAATAATTAAATAATTACAAATATTTTATGAGATAAAATGATAACTTAGATAAATATAAAGATAAATATTATAATAAGAATGAATGAATGCAGTTAAGAATTCACTTTAATGATAACTTTAAAAAAATTGTGATAAAAAAAATTCGCGTAATGGAGATCAAGGAAATATCGTAGGAATACAAATGTAATTATAAAATGCTTGGCTAAATTCCCTATGTGGTCTTTGTTTAGATAAAGTTAATTGACGAGGTGATTTATGGAGGTACATTTATATATAATAAGCTTTGAGGAAAAATTAACATTAGTGCTTGTTCGGCTTAATGCGATTTTCAGTTTATACGAAGGAGATACTAGGAATATTAGGTATTGTTTGCTGCAGTTTAGGTAAAAACCCTAGCAATGGAATGAATCGCCAATTTACTAGAGTTTCATTAAGAGTCTCATTTTTTAGTTAAAATTTAAGGATAGAAAACTTTTTGAAATTTTTAAATAGCAAATAAATGTAGAAATGATTCATATAATAATTTTTATTTTTATTTCTATCATAAATGAATATTTAAAGGGAAATATCTTCTGTAAGTAACGAGATTACAACGAATAAAATGTAAGCATTTTTAAGATATATTTTAATAAACTGTAATAACTGTCGTGAACCTTATTTTATTATTACGCTTATGCTATTGTATTTTTGCATGCATCCATTTCTAAACGACTTTCTGGTAAAAGAATCATCCAAATGCTAATTGCTGGAGCTAAACAAATCAAGAATGTTGTATTTTTGCTTTTGACATTATTGTTTTGACTGGTTTCACTTCGATGAGAATGCTTTCCGCTACCTCAACCTGTGAACTAAGATTGTTCACTATCTCTTCTTTCTGTAATTCGCGTCTTTAAAATGTGCCTTCTCATGTCTGCTCAATTTTGTCAGCATTCACCACAAAGTATGGCATATATATAAGTCAGTGTTTTTGTGATAAGCAGCAAACAGCTTAAATAATGTGCTATATCGTTGCTGCAGATGCAATGGTAAATAGTAATCGAGCAATGGTAAATACAATTAACGTGATTCAATCTGTTCGATAGATACTTAAAATATACAAGAATAAGATGACTTCCCGATATCTTCCATTCTCATAGGCGTTAGACCTTCAAAAAAGTAGCATAATGAGAGAAAAATATTTCCACAATTATCCCGATTGCTTCTTTAAGAGATGATATTTTTGTGAATTGTACAAAGCATCTGACATGCAATATCACCCTATTATTCATGAATTCTTATTTGTACTACAGTTGTCGATATGCTTTACAAATTCTGTCTTCAGCAAAAGAGCAAAAGAGATCCCATTAAATTCAAAATCCATGACAGTATGCTATCCTCTGATTTGTACTGATCAAATTTACTTTTAAAAGATTGTCTCGTCCTGAAACCCAATTTTTGAGAGCTCTAACAGGTGACAACATCACACATCATTATTACGCATAATTTCACTAATCATTCTCCAAATCATAACCATGTTATGAAAAAAATGAAATAATTCCTACATCTCCTACTAGAACAACCTACTTTATGTTTAGAGTTTTTCTCATTTTATTAAGCGAATATTTCGAATCCTCTAGCACCGATAACTTTTTCGGACAATTTCATTTCATTTAAAAATTTCATTTTGAGGTCTTATTTGTTTGTTTCCAAGTGGGATATCCTAGCATGGATTTGGTTGATTTTTGGAGATCAGCCTTTAATTAGAAGCAATGCTCCTCGACTACTGTAGATCACTGAGATATTTCGATAATTCGATTTAAAAAATATTGTTAATATCAATTTAATCGAGAGATTTTGGGAAGATCGTTTTCTATACGTTCTAATTTATAAGGATCTTAAGTCATCTAATGAAGTCATCTAATCTTAAGTCATCTAATCTAATGAAAGAATGCAATTTGAGTTTGCGATAAGGGTCACTAATATGGAACTGGTTTAGCGACAAATCGGCCATAAAATAATTAATCTAGTTTGAATGCTGACAATCCTTAAGCAGACGAAGGCGACGTTCTCAATTCACTTACTTACCCCTATTGATATACTTGCCAAACCCAAAATCTAACATAATAGCTGTGGCCTGGGAGTACGCTATATAGAAGATGACAAACATTTAAATGTACTAATATTTTACATTTTATTGCATGAAAGTTGTCAAATAACCTTAAAAAACCTTTTTATCTTCTTATTTGGCAAACATATAAACAATAAATAATTGGAGCCTGGATAGTCGAATTATTTATTTCTATGACTCCGTTTCTTATTCCTTGGCGAAATTCGAGTTAGGCAGTGGTAATTCCATCCCCCTTATTTCTGACGAATTATAATCCTCTGAAAACGAGCCATCGCCGACGCTAACCAAATTAGAAATTGCACTACTGAAATAAAATAATATATTGCACTCACTTTCTTTATATTGCATGCTTTACTAATTATGCTTTAATAATTTATTCCTTAAAATCCATTCGAAATTCAGATTTCGTGAATCAAGTGCTTATAAAGAGAAGCAAGTGCCACCAAGTGTAACAACTGCAACCGTTACTGATTTGGAACCATTTCAAGTAAATTTCAATTCATTTCCAGCAAGTTAAACTTAAAATCGCAAATAAATATTCAAATGTTATGAAAGAAAGAAATTATTTATAAATTTAAATTAAGCTTTATGAAATTTCTGTATTGGCTATCAATGCGATTGGACGTGGCATTGCGACAATGCCTAAAGAAGTTCAAACAGATGAATTCGCGCCGACTACTCCACCTCAACGAGTACAAGCTCGAGCTTTGAATAGAAATTCTATTTTAGTACGGTGGGATCCGCCTGAAAAGCCCAATGGCCAGATTACGGTTAATTTTGTATTGGTTTTTCATTAATGAAATTTTTTCACCTCTATTTTTTAAAATTAATTTATTGGTGGAAATTTGAGGAAAGAAATGATATAATTGAAATGAATTACGAAATTACAAATTTTAAATAGTAAAATTTTATAGGGCTATACAATTTACTATACAAATAGAAATGCTTCAGTACCACGTTCGCTATGGCAAACGGTATTTACATTAATATATTTTATTTTGTTCTAATCTTTTTCCTTAAAAGAACGTTCACTATTTCTGATTAGGCTCGCACCGCATGCTTGCTGGACCAGATAAATTTTGCTAAAAAATCAGCTGTCGATAGAAATATAGGTGAGCACCATCCAGACAAAACTCTTGTCAGGAGTCAGTAGACCGTTGCAAAAAAGCTTTAAACTCAAAATATTTTTCTGAATAAATTTTTATTTGCATGAATTTTCTCCAGTGCCTCTTATTTTTTTTTTAGCTCGAAGTGAAATCGGATGAGCTTATTACGACATTACACGATTTAGAGATTGAGCAAACCTATTATATTAGTGTTCAAGCGAAAAATTCGAAAGGATTGAGCCCAGCGTCTAAACTTGTCACTGTCATCACTAAGCATGGAAGTTAGTTTTTTATCCTACTGTTGTAATTTTAGAATATAGTAATAGTTAAGAAAATTTCTTAATGAGGTGTCGATTCACGGCAAAAATCTTTTTTTTTTTCAATTTAGATATTTAAACTATATTTTAATCTGAAATTCAGAAAATATCTTTCTTCGCAATTTATTTAATTTCTTTCTATAATATTTAAACAGAAGTTCTCATCATTATGCACAATAATTTTATCTAACGTTTATCATTTTTAGTACCAGGCCAACCAATGAGTTTGGTCGCAAAACCGTTAGATTCAAGAAGAATTCACCTTAGCTGGGAAAAACCCATACATTCATATAACATTATTGGATATTCAGTGTGGTTCAATAATTCAGTTGGTGCTGCTCGACAACTCACCTTAACCAATCCAGTTAATAAGCACATTATTGACGGTCTTGAACCAAACACCATCTATTCATTCAGGTAAAATTGTTAAATCTGTTTTACGAGATATCTTGAAAATTTTACCGTTGAGCTAAGCCGAAACGAAATAATCGAGAAGTTTATTTCGAACTGAATTTGATATCGAACAAATAAACAGCAGCACATTTTATTTCCCATAGAAGTTGAGAAAAAATTTAGAGTTGCTGCTCAATCATCGAGAGGTTTGGGTGCTTATTGTGAGGATGTTTATGCGAAAACATATCCCAATGGTGAGTGTCTTCACCAAAATTTTTTTATTTATTGCCGAAATTAAAATTTTAAGAAATTAAACTTTTAAAAAATTTTTTAAAATAAACAAAATTATAAAGAGAATTTAATTTTATATTTCGATATTTATCGTGGAGTTTAAATGATTATTGTGAATTTTGGTTGTGTTTGTATTTTTGTTTGATTATTGTATTATTGATATTTTTGATGGATAAACTATCAAAGAAGATGGCCTAAAAATTTTCTAGTGGAGTTATTAATTTTACGAAAAATAGCAGTTTTATGTCTTTGGTGCTACTGAATATATTGGATATTGGTATTATTTATCTGTGTTGTATGTAAATGTTCTTTAGTCCCATCTGGATCGCCAAAAATCAGCAGTTTTGAAACGATCTCATCAAGATCTATCATGATTCAGTGGTCAACACCTATTATAGACATACAAGATGGAGACTTGATTAATTACAAGATTAAATGGCACCCTATACCAGACAGCGATTCTGCAGTTAATACGACTGCTGATAGTAGCGATAACAATGAGCTCTATGACGACAGTATAGAGAATAATAAGGATCATGAGTGGAATGAGTTGGTTCGAGATGCAACTTTGGGCAATTCAGTCGTGTTAAATGATCTAAAGCCTTTCACGAGTTATAAGATATTCGTTGCGGCTGGAAGTAAAGGAGGTTTTGGACCGTTAAGTCAACCACTATACATCAAAACTCCTGAAGATGGTTAGTTTAATCTTGATACTCGATTTTTTAATTGACAGAGAAGGATAATCCGAGTCTCTTTAATTTATCTTTATGCATGTTTTATGGTTTCAGTTTTGCATGAATATCTGTATATATTTTAGTGCATAGGCTGCAATTTTTATCACAGTTCGTTATAGTTCTTTTTTTTAAAATTATTCTATCGTTTTATCGTTTATTATTATTATTTGATATTATTTGTAAATCTTCAATTAAATTATAAAAAACTTGGCAGAATCTAAATAAATTTATAAATTTGCCAAGCTTATAATTTTAAGACATAAATTTAAACAAATTATAAGACCAAACAAAAGAATTAAATTTAGATGGCCAGCAAATGAAATTACCAGGTATGTCACTGTAATTTCTCTTTATTGATCGTTCTTATCATTTATCAAATGCTTCAGTTTTCTCTATTCATCATAATGAGCAAAAAAAAAAAAAAGTGTTCAGTGCAGATTTTGTTAGACCAATAAAATTTGAAAATTGGTTGGAAAAAACATGGACTATTGTATTCATTTTTTTGCCCATTCTGGTGAAATCTTTATTTTTTTATCGCTTGAAAAATTTCTGTGATTATTTTATAAATGATCTATCGAATTATCGTTGTGCACAAGAATATTTATTAAATTTATTACAGAATCTACGTAAATGTCTTTTTATCATGAAAATTTCGAATTTTCACATTTGCTAAATTCCCTTTACATTTTGTTTCATTTTAGAATATTTTGGTGGATTTTCCATTTTTAAATTTATTTATTCAAATTCATTAAACTTTATTGAAATGAGAGATGAAAGTCGTAATCAGTGAATGATTTGTCGTGCAGCAACATTCAATAAATTTGCAATTTTTTTTGCATATTTAGTTTAGTAATGAAAATTTCTCATCAAATTATATTAAAATATTTGCCTATTTGATTTTTTTTTCTTTTTTATTCATTTATATTTAATAAATATTTTTATTCAATTTCATATTAGCTTAGTATCTTATTTCAAAATAAATTTTATTTGTCCCTTGAGAAATATAAAAGGATTAAAAAGAAATTTATTTGAAATATTTTACAGCTTTTATTTTCTTAATGCTTCTTCCTTACGGAAAATATATTTAAATTTATGAATTATATTGAGAAGTTATTTATTAAATATTAAATTATAATCTTTAGCGAGTAAATTGGCTCGGTGGGTTTTGCTTTCATTTCAGTGCGCGGTTACTGGGGTTCTATTCTCGATAGGAGTAATAATTTGTTGAGTTTTGCTGGCGATCTTTTTCATTTATTATTCCCTGGTAATTTTTCTGATTCTGCAAACTAACGGATTTGAAAATTGTGAGTTCTAAAAAAAAAACAGATTCCAATTATTATTTATGAATTATCCAATTATTGAAGAAATTATAGAAAAAATAGACTATTTAAAATTTGAGCAAAATAAATATGTTTATATTTATATTAATCCAAAATGGGCGCAAAAGAGATATAAATGAATTGTCCATCATTCATACGAGTTTTACTTTTAATGGCAAGTTTAATCATATCAAAATTCAATTGTTGATTCGAAAAATCGTTTTTGGCATTAAAAAAAGATCATTTTTGATGAATTTTTTTTAAATTCTAAAAATATCCTTCAAATAACATTGGTCATTTTGAATAGAATTTTTGCCGTTCGAATGGCTGATTTTAATAGATTTTTTAAATTGATTTTCATGCGTTGAATTTGGATCCATATCCAATTTTTTTTTTCTATCACTATAGACGGTCATTCCAACCAACAGGTATATTACCAAAGATGACGAAGAAATTCTAATATATATTCTGATATATGATGATAACAATGCATAGAGAATGCATAGAGAAAAAGAGGTTAAGGACCACAGGTTTGCAACAACGTCGACTGATTACAAACCACTACGAAATGAATATTAACTTTAAAGGACTGTTATTAGGGAATATTCATTTTTTTCCCTCCCTCCCCTCAAAGTATTTCATATATAGAAATATGAAAATGCCTTTTGTTTAAGGCCTTCTTAAGTTTTTTCATGTGTAACGTCTTTTTTATTTTAGAAAAACAATATCTCATATTTTATTTATCATTTTTATTGAAAATTAGCACTAAATGTATTGAAAATTTTTTCATATTTCTATATTAATTTTATTTTCGAATGGAAAATTTGTACAAATATACCTTGAAAAAGCGAAACAAATTTTGTCAAAATTTTATTAAAAAATGAGGTTTTATCAGACTTTATCAATTCAAATATAATACTTTATAAAATTTTTTATTTGTATAAAAAAATAACTATAAACAATTAATTCATGAATTTAGAAGATCGAGAATATTCGTAGTAGTTGAATTATACCCATTTTTTCACGTAAGCCTTAGGCAAGATTCATGTCTTTTGGGAAAACCTCTCATTAAAATTGAAATCCAAACGTCTATTTGAATCCCAGCTATGTATCTATATCGAAGTCACGAGGTCATCAAGTATTTAAATATCCTAGTAATTATTGGAACCAGGTAAGTGATCGAAAATGATAAGCACTATTAAAAAAGACAAAAATTTGTCCTCAAAAAATATTTTTCGCTTTCTATTGAAATTAATTTTTTTTCTGAGATTTATCAAAGAAAATCAATCTTTCACGACTTTTTTTTCATTAAAATATTTCTTTTTTTATCGAAAGGCTATAAATAATTAATGGTCAATTTAACCTCATTACCTCCCTCATTTGAGTATTTCAGTTCTTTTATTATACGTTTTTGTTCATTAAAAAAAAATTCACATTTCTTATTCTCCTTTATTCCCTTCGCAGATTAAAATACTTTTCTTCTCAATTTTCTTTTATCTCTCTTTTTTATTATTTTTATTTTTTTGAGTTTTCAATGATTTTTAGTATTTTTTATTCGCAAATATTCAACGAATTTAAGCAGCTAATTTTACGGCAGAAGTGAAAAAAAAAATTCGATTTTGAAAGGTTTATCTGTTTGTTCACTTTCTAACGGAGCAGATTTCAAGTAAAAATCCAGCCATTCGTACTTTTTTAGCTAAAATTGCTTCACTTGCAGATGAATGAAGAGTGATGGAACTCGCCAAGTGAGCGATTGTGTTAGAAAATTAATAACGGTAATAAAAATTTGAAAAAGGGTTTATTGATGCATTTGAATTTATCATGCGGAGAGAATTGCTCATTACCTATATAATATAACATAGAATTTTGTTTTATTTTACTCAATTCTAAATTATGGTTAATATTACTAAAATTAAATTTTCCTATAATAAATGTTTTTTTAAGATTTTTGCTTTTTTTCTAAATAAAAAGTTTATAAATGTATAAATATAAATACTATAAATATAAATATATATAATAAGTATTACAATCTGGCTGCTGCTAGCGGTGACCTATTTGTACTTCCATCGCTAAGTAACTCCTTCCAACTATCAACAACGAACAAGATAAGTCTAACTAGAAATGATAAGCGCTAACAGCTCATCTACAATCTTATAAGCTAAAAATTATAAGGAATATGGCTGAAAATCTTCAGAATACAATTTTCAATTTTTCGAATTAAGAAAATGAATTATAAGAAAAGGAATTCTATTCACAATTCTATAAAGAAAAAAAATAAATTATTGACCGATCCGTTAGAATAAATTTTTTTTTTTTTTTACAAAATTCATATCAAAAAATCTATGGGAATTATAAAATTTTTCTTATAAACCCCAAAAGAATAAATCTAAAAAGTTATTCTATTTTATAAGCGCATAGAAATAATTTTTTGTAAAATAGAATAGTCGAGCAGTTATTTATACTACTTTGCTTTAACATAAAAAATTTAATCACTTATTGAGAAAAATACTATCGATCATTGCCTAAATTGCTTCATAGCCTCGAGCAAATTACATTTTATTGACAATTATGATGAGTTTGCTATAACTAACCACTTTAGTTAAGAGAGCTTTAATATATATGCTTTTATTCATTTTTCAGTTTTAATTTTTTTAAAATATCATTTATATCAATTATATTCAATTTACGAATGCATATTGGCCGATTTTACTGGATTATAAAGAAGAGAAATATCGTAAGATGTAAGAAAAAAAAAAATGAATAGTAGGGAATTTTTGGAGCCATCTTTTGCAAGGAAAAAAAAAAGATTCTAAGAAGGATTCTAAGAAAGATTTATATCCTTAGTGGAACTTCAAATTACCATTCGAATTCAATTCAAGTTAACGCTTCTTAAAACTCGAATTTTTTTCAACAAATTTCATGTATTGAATTTCAGATAATAGATAATTTCATGTATTGAATTTTAGAAGGTGATAAAAAAATTAGCGCAAAAATATTATTAATATTATTAATTATATATATTATAAATATTATTAATTATAAATGTTAAAATATTTTATAAGGGAATTCGATAATAATGCTTCAGCTTAATTTAATTTCTTTTGTTTTTGCTTAATAAATTTAGTTGATAAAGATAAAAATTTTTTTTGATAGATATTTTTGATAGATTTATAGATTTCAAATAGCAACTACTTGTCTGGTTTCTGGCTTGGGGGGAGGGATATTAACCATAGAATCACTTGAGGATAGAAAGACAGACGAATCCTGCTTTAATCCTATTTTAATTACACTTTTAATGACAAATTTGCTATTGCAGATGAATAGAAATCTAAGCTGCTTGAAGCAATATAGCGATTCAAGCAATAATTTAAGAATAAGAAATGTTATTTATACAGAATTCCACTTTTATAAATGGAATACTTTTTTTTTTTTTTAAATTTCCTTCAAATTGTATCAAAAATTTGAAGTATTCTTGTTATTTGAATATAATGCATGAACAAAACAATTAGAGAATTCTGAATTTTTTCAATTCACATTTATTGAAGAAAATCTTATAAAATTAAATTGCTTATTTAGAAAATAAGAGAGAAGCAAATTGCTTATTTGCTGACTCGCGAAAGAACGCAAGCAAGTTACTTACTTATTTA